TGTCTGGGTAAACGAGAGCTTTCGATTGATACCCATTTTTACCATAGCACCACTTTTTGGTCCGTACAAAGGCGATTTTACGGATATTTTACGAGTCTAGGGGGTTTTACGGGCCTTAAACGTCAATGCAACGGGGTCCGTTTTGGGGAAAGTTTCTCGTCTGGTGGTGGGGCACCCGTGTGCCGATTTTGAACGAAATTGGAGGGGACCCCCCATTGACCCAAAATTTTGATTTTCCCGTAAAAACTTTCCTATGGGGAAAAAGTGAAATTTTCCTGCAGGACTGGGTCTGGGTAAACGAGAGCTTTCGATTGATACCCATTTTAACCATAGCACCACTTTTTGGTCCGTACAAAGGCGATTTTACGGATATTTTACGAGTCTAGGGGGCTCTACGGGCCTTAAACGTCAATGCAACGGGGACCTTTTTGGGGAAAGTTTCTCGTCTGGTGGTGGGGCACCCGTGTGCCGATTTTGAACGAAATCGGAGGGGACCCCCCATTGACCCAAAATTTTGATTTTCCCGTAAAAACTTCCCTATGGGGAAAAAGTGAAATTTTCCTGCGGGACTGTGTCTGGGTAAACGAGAGCTTTCGATTGATACCCATTTTTCTCATAGCACCACTTTTTGGTCCGTACAAAGGCGATTTTACGGATATTTTACGAGTGTAGGGGTTTTACGGGCCTTAAACGTCAATGCAACGGGGACCGTTTTGGGGAAAGTTTCTCGTCTGGTGGTGGGGCACCCGTGTGCCGATTTTGAACGAAATCGGAGGGGACCCCCTATTGACCCAAAATTTTGATTTTCCCCTAAAAACTTCCCTATGGTGAAAAAGTGGAATTTTCCTGCAGGACTGTGTCTGGGTAAACGAGAGCTTTCGATTGATACCCATTTTTACCATAGCACCACTTTTTGGTCCGTACAAAGGCGATTTTACGGATATTTTACGAGTCTAGGGGGTTTTACGGGCCTTAAACGTCAATGCAACGGGGTCCGTTTTGGGGAAAGTTTCTCGTCTGGTGGTGGGGCACCCGTGTGCCGATTTTGAACGAAATTGGAGGGGACCCCCCATTGACCCAAAATTTTGATTTTCCCGTAAAAACTTTCCTATGGGGAAAAAGTGAAATTTTCCAGCAGGACTGGGTCTGGGTAAACGAGAGCTTTCGATTGATACCCATTTTAACCATAGCACCACTTTTTGGTCCGTACAAAGGCGATTTTACGGATATTTTACGAGTCTAGGGGGCTTTACGGGCCTTAAATGTCAATGCAACGGGGACCGTTTTGAGGAAAGTTTCTCGTCTGGTGGTGAGGCACCCGTGTGCCGATTTTGAACGAAATCGGAGGGGACCCCCCATTGACCCAAAATTTTGATTTTCCCGTAAAAACTTCCCTATGGGGAAAAAGTGAAATTTTCCTGCGGGACTGTGTCTGGGTAAACGAGAGCTTTCGATTGATACCCATTTTTACCATAGCACCACTTTTTGGTCCGTACAAAGGCGATTTTACGGATATTTTACGAGTCTAGGGGGTTTTACGTTCCTTAAACGTCAATGCAACGGGGACCGTTTTGGGGAAAGTTTCTCGTCTGGTGGTGAGGCACCCGTGTGCCGATTTTGAACGAAATCGGAGGGGACCCCCCATTGACCCAAAATTTTGATTTTCCCGTAAAAACTTTCCTATGGGAAAAAGTGAAATTTTCCTGCAGGACTGGGTCTGGGTAAACCAGAGCTTTCGATTGATACCCATTTTAACCATAGCACCACTTTTTCGTCCGTACAAAGGCGATTTTACGGATATTTTATGAGTCTAGGGGGCTTTACGGGCCTTAAACGTCAATGCAACGGGGACCGTTTTGGGGAAAGTTTCTCGTCTGGTGGTGGGGCACCCGTGTGCCGATTTTGAACGAAATCGGAGGGGACCCCCCATTGACCCAAAATTTTGATTTTCCCGTGAAAACTTTTCTATGGGGAAAAAGTGAAATTTTCCTGCAGGACTGTGTCTGGGTAAACGAGAGCTTTCGATTGATACCCATTTTTACCATAGCACCACTTTTTGGTCCGTACAAAGGCGATTTTACGGATACTTTACGAGTCTAGGGGCTTTACGGGCCTTAAACGTCAATGCAACGGGGACCGTTTTGGGGAAAGTTTCTCGTCTGGTGGTGGGGCACCCGTGTGCCGATTTTGAACGAAATCGGAGGGGACCCCCCATTGACCCAAAATTTTGATTTTCCCGTAAAAACTTCCCTATGGGAAAAAGTGAAATTTTCCTGCAGGACTGTGTCTGGGTAAACGAGAGCTTTCGATTGATACCCATTTTTACCATAGCACCTTTTTTTGGTCCGTACAAAGGCGATTTTACGGATATTTTACGAGTCTAGGGGTTTTTACGGGCCTTAAACGTCAATGCAACGGGGACCGTTTTAGGGAAAGTTTCTCGTCTGGTGGTGGGGCACCCGTGTGCCGATTTTGAACGAAATCGGAGGGGACCCCCCATTGACCCAAAATTTTGATTTTCCCGTAAAAACTTTCCTATGGGGAAAAAGTGAAATTTTCCTGCAGGACTGGGTCTGGGTAAACGAGAGCTTTCGATTGATACCCATTTTAACCATAGCACCACTTTTTCGTCCGTACAAAGGCGATTTTACGGATATTTTACGAGTCTAGGGGGCTTTACGGGCCTTAAACGTCAATGCAACGGGGACCGTTTTGAGGAAAGTTTCTCGTCTGGTGGTGGGGCACCCGTGTTCCGATTTTGAACGAAATCGGAGGGGACCCCCCATTGACCCAAAATTTTGATTTTCCCGTAAAAACTTTCCTATGGGAAAAAGTGAAATTTTCCTGCAGGACTGGGTCTGGGTAAACCAGAGCTTTCGATTGATACCCATTTTAACCATAGCACCACTTTTTCGTCCGTACAAAGGCGATTTTACGGATATTTTATCAGTCTAGGGGGCTTTACGGGCCTTAAACGTCAATGCAACGGGGACCGTTTTGGGGAAAGTTTCTCGTCTGGTGGTGGGGCACCCGTGTGCCGATTTTGAACGAAATCGGAGGGGACCCCCCATTGACCCAAAATTTTGATTTTCCCGTAAAAACTTTTCTATGGGGAAAAAGTGAAATTTTCCTGCAGGAATGGGTCTGGGTAAACGAGAGCTTTCGATTGATACCCATTTTAACCATAGCACCACTTTTTCGTCCGTACAAAGGCGATTTTACGGATATTTTACGAGTCTAGGGGGCTTTACGGGCCTTAAACGTCAATGCAACGGGGACCGTTTTGAGGAAAGTTTCTCGTCTGGTGGTGGGGCACCCGTGTGCCGATTTTGAACGAAATCGGAGGGGACCCCCCATTGACCCAAAATTTTGATTTTCCCGTAAAAACTTTTCTATGGGAAAAAAGTGAAATTTTCCTGCAGGACTGTGTCTGGGTAAACGAGAGCTTTCGATTGATACCCATTTTTACCATGACACCACTTTTTGGTCCGTACAAAGGCGATTTTACGGATATTTTACGAGTCTAGGGGGTTTTACGGGCCCTAAACGTCAATGCAACGGGGACCGTTTTGGGGAAAGTTTCTCGTCTGGTGGTGGGGCACCCGTGTGCCGATTTTGAACGAAATCGGAGGGGACCCCCCATTGACCCAAAATTTTGATTTTCCCGTGAAAAATTTTCTATGGGGAAAAAGTGAAATTTTCCTGCAGGACTGGGTCTGGGTAAACGAGAGCTTTCGATTGATACCCATTTTAACCATAGCACCACTTTTTCGTCCGTACAAAGGCGATTTTACGGATATTTTACGAGTCTAGGGGGCTTTACGGGCCTTAAACGTCAATGCAACGGGGACCGTTTTTTAGAAAGTTTCTCGTCTGGTGGTGGGGCACCCGTGTGCCGATTTTGAACGAAATCGGAGGGGACCCCCCCATTGACCCAAAATTTTGATTTTCCCGTGAAAACTTTTCTATGGGGAAAAAGTGAAATTTTCCTGCAGGACTGTGTCTGGGTAAACGAGAGCTTTCGATTGATACACATTTTTACCATAGCACCACTTTTTGGTCCGTACAAAGGCGATTTTACGGATACTTTACGAGTCTAGGGGGTTTTACGGGCCTTAAACGTCAATGCAACGGGGACCGTTTTGGGGAAAGTTTCTCGTCTGGTGGTGGGGCACCCGTGTGCCGATTTTGAACGAAATCGGAGGGGACCCCCCATTGACCCAAAATTTTGATTTTCCCGTAAAAACTTCCCTATGGGGAAAAAGTGAAATTTTACTGCAGGACTGGGTCTGGGTAAACGAGAGCTTTCGATTGGTGTGGTTTTTTACCCGTTTGTGACGTCATTTCTAGGGAAAAATGGGTCATAAAGGTTTCCCTCTACCGGGGCCTTTTTTCCCCCTACCGAATCTGTGCTGTGCTGAATCTGTGCTGAATCTGTGCCAACTTCCGTTACATTCCATCATCACCGCCAAAAATCCGCCAGCGTCTGCGTCCTTCGAGCGCTCAACACACACAAACAAAAATAAAATAACTCTCTGGCGCAGATGCGACGTTACATGGATTACGTCAGCTGATATTTAAATTTTTGCATATATGGAAGCTATGTTGGGAATAAAATTGGAAATAAACGATTTTTTTCACTTTGCAAACTTTATCAAAATCAAAATGTACCATGTATTTGAAAAGTTAAAAAACAATGATATTAAACATCATGTAGAATCATTGATTTGCAACGAAACTTATCAACATTTGTGCAAACAGATAATATGGTAGCAATGTAGAATTGAAATCGTCTTTGAAGTGGCCGTGGTAATGCGCCCCCTCCTACGCCGCTTGTCATGGACGCCGGTGAAAACAGGGCGCCGGAGGGCATATTAGTCACGTGACATTTGGAACTTCTCCCCCTCCATGGGCCTTCTGTATGCCAAACGTCACGTGTAAATTTCACGAACCTTGATCAAATCGCCCCAGGCGCCCTGTTTTCACCGTCGTCCCTTGTCATGCGTTGAATTTGGTATGGTTGGGTGTGGTTTTGATTATTTTATTTCCTGGCAGCTGAACGGGTTTTTGACGTACAAAGTACTGCCTAATAAGTGCTTAAACAAGCCTTCGCTGATTAATTAAAATTTCCTTTTTGAGTCTCTCGTTTGTAGGCTTGCCAGTACGCACCTTCACCAATTAACACATTGACTAGGCACCTACCTTAGTAAGTATAGGCAACACCACAGCCTCAGTTATATGAGAAATAAGTTTCACCTTTATTTTCATGTGATTCTTCATTTTCATTGGCTTATCTTTGCGCTGTGTGTAAGGCTTCAAAGTGACCACTTCCACTTCCATGGGTTTCGTGCTGATACTTTCTGCTGCGGTGGCAGAAAAGATCAGATGAGCCCCTGCATCGTCTGCTTTACCAACATAGGCGGCGGAACGGGGAGGGCACCGGGGCACCGTGCCCCCCTTTGATTTCGGCATTGTAACATTAGCCCTATGGGCGTTGCATGGAAAGAATGGGACCAAAAGTCTGCAGTACCCCCCCCTTAATTGAAGGTGTTCCGCCGCTACTGTATACCAATGCCCATATTTATAACACAAAGTCATGCCGTCACCTCTTTTGAATTTGTACCTGTGTGCATGTCTCTGTTTGTGAATGTTGTCCTGTTGTTTTCAGTCTGCTGTATCTGCAGCAGTGATACAGCTTGGCCTGTGCAGTAACAGCTGGGTGATTCCACAATGGCTGATGGACGGCTCTCCAACACGCTCATCACTGCCTCATGGCTGACGCTCATCAGCCTGCTGGCTGTGGTCATTGCCTTTGCCACACCACACTGGCTTGAAACAGATGGATCACTGGATGAGCCCAAGTTTGTCAAATTAGGTCAGTGATACTGGGGTGCGTTCTTCTTTGGTTAGAGAAAAAGAGGTTCACTGTTCAGTATAGGTGGGCACTGTTTTTCAAAGTTCTAACTTTGTTACTCCCTCTTCCTTTCTTTGAAATGCAAGCAATCCACTAACTGATCCTACAGAGGCAACTTGCATTAGTGGAGAAACCCAATAAGGCCCAGGCACTTGTTGGGCTGGGATGGCAGGCTTATCTCACAACCCATGGGCCAAGATGAGTGACCTGGGGGTCAAGGCAGGCAGGCTGGAATCAGAGACCAGCTGGTTGGGACAAACAACTGGCAGAGATGGGGCAATAAAACAAGTAGTTGAGATGCTGGACATCTCCCGGGACTGACTGGCTGGACCGTCGATCGAAGGCCAGTTGTGTTGCGTGAGTCACATGTTGCTCGGTTAAAACCCAGAAAATAGCATTCTTCTGCCCACATAACAAAAGCTGGAGATCAATTGCTAAGCCAACAGTCTTGGATGATCAAATGTAATTGGGCAATGAATGGCAGAGGAACGAACTCATTTGTAATGTTAGACACAGTACACGTTGCGACGTAACACGCAACGTAATGGTATCAACGGGCAACGTAACGGTTACGTTGCTCGTTATACTTCTCGAAATGTAAGGAACCTGTTCCGCCGTTCTTGAAACTTACAATGATTGACGACTTTCCGGAACAGAGAAACGGACCGTGCCTTCCTATGCTCAGCACCTACCTATGTGCCTGCCTATCTGAACTGGCTTCCAAAATTTGTTTGTAGTCTTCTGTTAGGTTCTAATGGAATGTTTCCATTTTCTCAAGCCTTACACCCAAAGCTAAGTCAACGTTTCATCATTACACTAAACGATCCGCAAGGTCCGAGCCGTTATTGGACAAAAGAAATGTAGACATTCAGCTGGCATTATGAACTGGCTCTGTCAGACTTCCTTTTTTCGGTCCTCTGAGTGCTACATTTCTCGGGAAGAATTGTTGCAACAACACTGTAGTTGCAGCCTAATAAAGGATGTGGCTCCGCCGCCTCTAAATATATCTTTGTGCATACGGATAAGATGATTCATGTTAATCTATGCTTCTTACAATCGTGCCACGTCTGACGTCCGTCTTCCATCATCCGCCATGCTATGTAACTGAAAATCTTTGTTCTTTCGTTTTATTGACCCGCGCTATTAGATTATAGCGGATATATTTGTTTTGATATGACTCTCGTATCATTGATTGTTGGCGCACGTCTGTTCTGCTGTGTTGCAGGGCTGTGGACGGTTTGTTTCGACAAGTTCCAGGAGCGGCTGCGCCTGTATGACACCGAGTTCTCCGGCTGCCGCTGGGTTCTGGACGAGGAGTACCAGATCATCGACTACCTGGTCCGGCCACGTGCGTAACACCGGGCTGGCGACACTCGCAGAACGTGAACGCTGCGTACGGACTGATCGGGCTTAGGACAGGTTTCCCAAATGACACTGTGAGCCCGTCGGAGCTAGTTAAGTCTCAAACGGGGTAATGTAAGATTAATTTAGCTATTTAGCTAAAAACGTTCAGCTCATCATCTCTGCTAAGAATAACTGTCTAAGAACAAACGTCTAAATCTGTTATAGCTTGCACAATATGATCGCAGTAATTCCCGTAGTCACGTCCGTATGTTTGTGTTTTCAGCGTTTTTCGTGGCGGTGCAGCTGTTTTTCACGCTCTGCTTCCTGGCTTGCCTGTTGGCCGGTGTGATGGTGATGGCGGCCGTCTGCTGCATGGAACACGAACGGGAGGGCAGTTTCCTCAAGGCCACCTCGTTCGTGCTGGGATTCGCAGGTAGGTGTGGCTGTTTGTCAGTGGTCGTTTGCAGTTGGATGATGGATATGGGGATGTGTGCACGGGGGTGCAATATTCACCAGTGCTAAGTTTACATAGGATGGGGCGTCTGTACGTGATGGGATTTCTGTACGAGAACGGTCGTTACCTGCTCAGCAGTCACTGACCTCGTAGTGTCCTGGTCCCTTTGTCCCTCTGTCAACTGCCAACAGTCCTGTATACGACGCGTCCCTGTCATCCTTCTCCCCCAGTCACTCGCCACCGGCCCGGTAAACGTCCCTGTCGCCCCTGCTTCCTCTGTTACGTTCTATCGAGCCAAAGTTGCGTTCCTGACACCCTCTGGTCTCTCCGACAGCCGTTACGGGCACCATAGCGGTCATCACGTTCGGCGCGCTCGGTGACGAGAGGGACTGGATGCCCGACTACGACCACAACAACCTCTCCTGGAGCTTCGGGCTCGGTGAGTGGCGCAGGGCCGGCCCTTCGCTTTGTCATTGCCAGGGACAGACGGTGGGGTCGGGTAGAGGCGAGCCGTTCGCGGAATAGAACTGCAGCTCACGGGGAAACTGACCAATAATTATGGGCGGTTTGTAGTGCATGCATCCTAGTTTGTAGACAGGTCCCAGTTTTGACTCCTTTGTTGTATATTTCTCCGAGATAAGGGTAAATCTTACTTGCAAGTATTTTTGTCACCATTAACTCTTTGTCATCGACTGTGCATATTTTGCATGAAGTCCCTGCTAATGTTGATTAGTTATTAGAAGTCCGCCTATTCCAAGGTAACGATTGTAGATAAATTGCACCTCCATATCTCTGTTTTGTTTGTCTTTTCCTGTTGGTTAATCGTATCTCAACGTCGTGCTTTGGTTACCGGTTTATTTTCCTGTGACCCCGCTCATATTTCGTGGCAGGACGTATCTGACAGTATCAGCGGCTATAGCTGGTGGCGGGCTGGCCTTAAAGGGACCCTCCCACCTTAACATTAGATTTGAGTTGAGATAGCCAAAATGGGGTCACTGGCTCACAATTACCGGTTTCGGCACTCACAACATCGAGAAATGCCTTAAATCGGAAATATTGAATTTCAAAATTGCAGCATTTTGATTCAGAGGGGCTAATGCATAGGAATACCCCTCTGGATGTGTGACGTCAGCGCAGATATCTAACGATTTTTAAATGTTTGACTAAAACGTTTTGTAGCACGCGGTGGTATATGCTGCTTTGCGCGCAACAGGTGCCGCACTTTCAGCTGCCAAATTATTGCTTCCAAATAAAGTCGCTAGGAACAGCGGAGATCCCAAAAAAGTAAACAAAAGTAAAAGTCTAATATCTTGAAAACCGGTGAGTATTTTTCGGTGAAATTTGGTAGATATTCGTTTTCGCTCTTTCTGAACCGAGCGACATCACTTTCATGCCAATTCATTAACTTTTTTGAAGGTGGGAGGGTCCCTTTAACGCTGCTGGCTATGCTTTGTACCCCCCCCCCCCCCTCCCCATCCATCAACTCCCTTTCCATGCGCACTACTTCCTCAGTCCATGCAGGGCCGGTTTGGCCGGCTTCACTCCCCGGTTTATGTTTTAGAGTAGTTGAGCTCCATTCAGCAGTGTTTGCCAACCACTGGGTGTCGGAGCGCCCGCTGTGTGTGTGTAGCTGTGTCGGCTGGTCTGAGGGACGCTGTGGGATGGCTCGGCAGGCGCCGTGGGCTCGGTGCTGGCCGCGCTGGGCGCCATCCTGCTCTGGGTCGAGTCTCGCGTCCAGCTGCGGCTGCTGCGACTGAGGCGTCCAGTGGCCAAAGGGCCGGCGGCCGTCACCTCTACCATCTGAGCGGGGTACCCTTGCGGTCTGGCGGTTATCCCGCCCGTTACCCTCAGCACAGCCCGCGACCCCCACACCTGCATGAACGTGACGCGGTGTCCTCCAGCGCAGGGAACCGTTGGTCCGTGGTCGTGCCGCACACTTCTGTTCATGTCCCTGCCGCGTCGGTGGTAAACGGCGGATGGTTGGGAGACGACAACGCACCTTCAACACCGACCGTCGGCACAGCGTACCCTTTCCACCGACTCGGGTCCCGGCTGACCACTCTGCACTGTGACTTTGTGGTACACCCACTGCACGTGAATCTAGCGGCACACGCCTGCCGCTGTGCCCACCTCACCTCGCCGCATGAGAGACGTACTGCCTGCCGTCGCTAACCGCTCTGTCGGGCTGTCATCCACTGTCACCTGTCATAACTGTCACATCTCATCATTGACTTTTGCCTGTTATCACTGTCATCTGGTTATGCTGACTGTGCCTGTTGTCATTTACCGTCGCCTGTCATCTGCCACTTGGTATCACTCACGCCGTCACTTTTCAGCTTTGACTATTGTCTTGTGATACTGACTGTCACCTGTCGATATCGCCGACCTTCACCTGATATCGTCACTTGGTACACCTGTCACCTGATATCGCCGACCGTCAGGAGTCACCTCGCGTCTTTGACTGTTGTCTGATATCAATCAGTCACCGCACTGAACTCTCTGTGACCGCGCTTATTTGTTTCTGTTCGTTGGCCATGCCATTCTTTTATGCTTCTTGCTGCTTTCAAGGATAGCGGTCTTAAAATTGAATTGACTTTTGTCCAAGGTTGTATAATGTGATGTGAGAATTAATCTGTTCTTGTAAATATTATGCTGTAAAGAAGTACACCGTCAAATATTAGTGTTTACGGCTGTTCTGTGGTAGATGGACTTGCCCACTGTGGCACTGTGTCTCGTTTTCCGACTCTGGCGTGCGTGTCCTGACACTGTGTGTTGTCCTGCGGCAGGCGCGGTCGGCTCGGTTCTGCTTTATTTTGCCGGCATCCTCTACTGGGTGGAGGCGCGGCGCGAGACCAAAAACTCCGACTTTGGCTTCTCGGCGCCGCCGGTGGCCTACGAGTCGTCGTCGCAGGTGTAAGCGGCCCGAGTGGATGATGTGTGCTGTCTCAGGCTCGGCCCAGGGTCGAGCCGACTGGACTCGGACTGGGCGTACCCCGTCTCGGTCACTGCTGGCGGACCAGGGTCGGAGGCCGCGTCTGCCGCTCCCCGGCGCAGTGGACTCGGCGTCTTACTGAGCTCCAACAAACACTGCCTTTGAGAGGCACCGGCTCGGCAAGCCGGCCATGAGTGAACGAGTGGATTTTATTTTCGTGACGAGAAATCTCTGCTTGATCTGTCTAGACATTTACTTTCTGATTAGTGTTAGGCATTTGCACCAGTGTAAACATCTGCTTTGACATTCCCGTTTGATTGAAGATCGCAGCAGTGTTTATATTACTCTCTTACAATCATGCGAGCAGAAGGTTTGTTGTGTGTTTTACTCGCGCTGTTTTATTTTTTGATCGATTGCTTCCGTTATTGCTTTTTGGCGAATGATGTTGCACGGTATGTAGTTTAAGTTCATAATTGAACGTGTCTCTTGGTGCATTTTTACCCGCTTTTTCCGTCGCGTATAATAACAGAGGACATGTAGCCACGGAGATGCTGGAGCCAGTGCGCTCGGTAACGCTTTTCGTCCGTCCGTACATCCGTCCGTTCGTCCGTCATTCGTCGACTGTGCCACAAGGCTTTGTAACCAGTTTTGTCCGTGTGCAGCCGGAGTTTAGGCTGAATGGGGGAGTGTTTGATCAGCATCGTATTTTTATACGCCTGTTTCATGGCATTGTCCAGCACATCAAGAGCGAACGAGCTCGTGTATTTTTATCGGATGTGCGTGCTGTCAGGTATGCTGCATAGTAGTGGGCCATTCGTTGTTCATACGTGTTTGCAGCGGATTTCCACTAAGTCGTTAGATGGTAGCACAATGCATAGACGCACATTCCAAGCTCAGATTGACAGCGAATCTGTGTCCTTTCGAATCTGCATCTTTGGATCTCCTGATGGATCTGTTAATCGGTAGATACGCACATTACGTCATATCACTGAAACCGCCTAACGTTTCGCTCATCGTTCCCGATGATGTATCTTTTGAAATACAGTAAAAAGTAAAAACATTTGTTTGATGCTTCGGTGGTTTTTTCGAGTAGTAAAGGAATCTTGGTTTTTTCTTCCGTCTTTATAACCAAAAGAGCAAACGTATTTGTGAGCTATGCACTATGCAGGCCTGCGTCTGGGTGGCCTGGTGCAATAGATGGCCTTGGCCTGGTGTTCACAGGCATCTCGATGCAAGCTGCGGGAAATTCAAGAAAATTTAAGAGAACTTCAACGCCAGGTAACAGGAAATTGGCGTACGCGACCATTCGAGACTATCCCCTTCATATGGTAGCAATATGGTAGCACACCGCGCAGCGGCATTTACGGCGCGTTTCATTCTTATTTATTTTTTATATTTTGTGTTTGTTGCGGGGGAGAGCGCATTTTTGGACGACGGTGAAAACAGGGCGCCTGGGGCGATTTGATCAAGGTTCGTTAAATTTACACGTGACGTTTGGGATATAGAAGGCCCATGGAGCAGGAGAAGCTCCAAATGTCACGTGACTAATATGCCCTCCGGCGCCCTGTTTTCACCGGCGTCCGCATTTTTGAAGTTCGGTGTGTATGATGGCGGGATAGGTGGTGATTAATAATATATAATAATTATTTCCTTTTGCAAAAGTATTTGAAACATTTATTGGATATTTTGACAGCTATCAACTTGCTAAGTTGAAGAGTTCGCCGCGTAAGCACTATGGCAGTAGTTGTGGCCGTTTGTGCTCATTAGGTATTTATTTTGAAACCTTTTATTAGAGATCAAACACGTACCGATCAGTTGCCGATGAAAATTTCAAATTGAAGGCGGCCCAGGGCCCACTTGATTCCTGTCTTGATCAGGCACTCTTCCAGGCTGAGCCGCCATTTATAGTGCGTGTATGCATAGAACTCGGGCACTGTTCGACAGACTTGTTCTGTGTCAGTTTTTATCAGTACCTATCCTGCTGTCTTTTTATACTGATATTGGTGCTACTTGTCACTTCTTGGCCTCTAATTTTTGAAGTGCACATACCATGCAAATATCATCAGTCAAAACTAGAAGGCAAGAAATGTGGGATGGGCGTGTCGAAACCACAGTCTGGGCGCCCTAAAACCCCAACTCACCATTGTCATCAAGAAATGCTGGCAAGCTTCCTAGCACACTGATAAAATCACAAATATGAAATGAACAACACCTTTACCACTAATTTATAAATTCAGCAATAGTATCAATTATGCTGTTACGCTGTTCTTCTAAATATTTTATTTAGCTTATGCTCCTAACTAACTTTTGTTTTTTATGGAGCAGTCGATGATCACTGAGAAGTTAATGGTTCAGTGATTATTGATGTCAGTTGTCACTAGTCTCTGTTTATCAGGAGGCAGACATGTCAGAAGCTAGTGGGGACAAGCGACCAGATGGAGAGAACAAGACGCCTGCCGGTCCGTCATCCCAGGGCAGCAATGCCTCGGCAACACCAGCTGGCACAGCTGCCAAACCTGTGGTAAGACATGGCTGGTAGACAAATCAGATTACTGAGCTAGAAAACATTGTATTATTTGATCAGGCCCATCTGGAGTGTAGCATTGGAAACATTTTGATCATATATCCCTGTCTTGATGCAAGTACAATGACAATGATGTTAGCTTGCAGAAGTGTAATTGTGCAGTTCCATTAGTTTCTTTTCAGCTAGTGGCTGACAATTCCTTTTGTAACCTTATCATGTTCTGAAACTCATGGTGCCTGTTTTTCAGAAACCTAACTATGTCTTGAAGTTCACCCTAGCCGGTCACACCAAGGCAGTCTCGTCCGTCAAGTTCAGTCCAGATGGCAACTGGCTGGCCAGCTCCTGTATGTTGAATGGGATGCAAGAGTTGTGCATGTGCAATTGGAGCAACAAACTCTGCTGTTTTGATTGACCAGTATTCACTTGCGAGCCATGTGCTTTGTTCATTTGAATGCCAACCTGCTCTGCTCTTACTTTCTTTGCTGAATGATAATGAAACGTTTGGTCTTCACCTGTTGACCTGTGTACATTTGGGGCGGCGCAGCGGCGGACAAGCTGATCAAGGTGTGGGGCGCGTACGACGGCAAGTTCGAGAAGACGATCGCCGGCCACAAGCTGGGCGTCTCGGACGTTGCCTGGGCCGTCGACAGCCGCCTGCTCGTCTCCGCCTCCGACGACAAGACGCTCAAAATCTGGGAGCTCAGCTCGGTAAACGGGGAGGGTAAACAACAGCTTTTACTATTGGTAAAAGCTGCATGGCCAGAGTGCTTTGTTAAGAAAAAGGGTGGGAAGACAAGCAACGGATTCTAGGTTGGCTAGACGCCGACTGCACGGGTCACGGGATGACGTGACCCGCTCAAAGAGAAGCTCAAAACCTGAGAGCTCAGCTCAGTAAATACAGGAGGGAGCGGGAAGTGTTGAAGGCCCATAGAGGCCCAATAAAGGTCCATAGAGGCTTGTTAGGAGAATGACTGAGCGTCGTACCGCCGGACATTTCGAATCGAACGATTCGCAGGGTCAGAAAGAGGGACAAGGTTGGATTGTGGAGGATGTGAGGACATGATAACTCAATGTTTAGAGGGCAAGCATTGGCAAAGTAGTTGTTTTGTCCTTGCTGAACCATGAACCTTAAACATCATTTTCATAGCTTTCTTCTGAAACAATCATACTCAAATAATGATATTGTATGGCGCGTGTCCCTTTGAGCATCCGTTTCTGAATTAGCATTGTTTCCAGGGCAAGTGTCTCAAGACTCTCAAGGGTCACAGCAACTACGTGTTCTGTTGCAACTTCAACCCGCAGTCGAACCTCATCGTATCTGGCTCGGTAAGTATATAGTGAGCATACACTACGCGAATGTATGCATCGGCTGGCTGTAAGATCGGCTGACGGCAAATATAGATGGGGAATTATGAAGGCTGACTTATAGATCGTTCATTACGATCACAAACATCATTCCCCTTAACTACTATCTTGATTACCATCCATACACTTAATGATATTTACCTGGCCTCCACTTTACACCGTGTGTCTGTTATGTCACGGCCGACGTAAACCGCCGTCCTGCCCCGCTCGGGAATCTGTTGATCCGGCCCCCGACTCGTCTTTTACCGCCTGCTCGGCCTGCCTGGCCCGCCCCGTGCCGTCTGTGTCGCCCGTTTGACGAGTTGGTTTGGCGGCCAGTTTGACGAGTCGGTGCGGATCTGGGACGTGAAGACGGGCAAGTGTCTGCGCACGCTGCCGGCCCACTCGGACCCCGTGTCGGCCGTGCACTTCAACCGGGACGGATCGCTCATCGTCTCCAGCAGCTACGACGGACTCTGGTCAGTCGAGAGTGGGCGTCCCGGTGTCTTCTATTCAAATGTCATAGCAATATCCCGTGTGTCGCGCCTTACTTATAGAACGACACAAATTTGCATGGTTATTGCGAGGGTGGTACGCTAACAACCCCCTGCAGCATTCAGCAAGGTTTCCTTTCAATGGGATGTTCAAGGTGTAGAGATGAGACTTTGGTTCTGACTTGCTTTTTATTCCACAGGAATATAAACAACACTCAAGCTCATGTTTAATTTAACGTAGTTTCTTTGGTCGTGTTGAAGCATCAGCCGACTGTCTGACCATGTCTGACCACACGAACTGACTGTTGATTACCGGGCCTCTGAACTCAGCCGTATCTGGGACACGGCCTCTGGCCAGTGCCTCAAGACGCTGATCGACGACGACAACCCGCCGGTATCGTTCGTCAAGTTCTCCCCCAACGGCAAGTACATCCTGGCCGCCACGCTGGACAACACGCTCAAACTATGGGACTACGCCAAGTGCAAGTGCCTGAAGACCTACACCGGCCATAAGAACGAGAAGTACTGCATTTTCGCCAACTTCTCCGTCACAGGAGGAAAGGTAGGTGATATGCGGCGTTAAAAGTAGAACAAGCGTGTAATCGTAAACGATAAAACTTTTACGTTAATTAAGCTTCTTTATTTGTATGCTAAATTTCGTTGTCCATGTGGACAAGACAATGTGTGATTAACATACCAAAACCGTCAAGTTGTGGCGCTGACGGTCGCGGGACGCAGACTCACGCTCGCCACTCTCCTCCCGTCCCGGGCAGTGGATCGTGTCGGGCTCCGAGGACAACATGGTCTACCTCTGGAACCTGCAGACCAAGGAGGTCGTCCAGAAACTGCAGGGACACAACGGTACGTGCAGCTCACGAGTTTCCTACGGAAGGACAGATTCACAATAAACACACGCAAATGACGCCAGGTTTAGGCAGTCATCTCCCGTCAACAGCGTTTAGGGCAAGTCGATGTCGTCACCTTTTTCCCCCGACGTTGCGTGGATATCTTTGTGCTGAGTATCTCGTCCGCTCTGACTATCACGGGCTTCGTTTCAGACGTGGTTCTCTGCACCGCCTGCCACCCCACCGAAAACATCATCGCGTCGGCCGCGCTGGAGAACGACAAGACCATCAAACTATGGCGCTCCGACACGTGACCTGTCTACTGGAGCATGTTGGCGCGGCGTCAGGGCTGGGAACGCAGAACTATTGCGGCATCATAGGGA